GTTTTCTGGAGGAGGCAACATTAGAACTGGGGCCTGGTGTGGTGAGTTTGGTAACAACATACTGCAGGGCTGGTCCATTGTTGGGGGTCACTAAGCACAGCTCACTGCTATGGGTGGTGGGGTGCATCGACAAAAAGGAATTCTAGTTCCAGTTTTCGCTAAGGAATGTTAGTTGGAGATCCATTTAAAATGGAAATTTGGAGAATTCTAGCATCTTTGCCCTTGTTAAACCTATTTATAGTGTCTGTTCTTCAGACTATAGGTCGTTCTCCACTTCCTCCTGTGTCAAGGAATTTTTATTGGATACCAAACGTTGTGAAATTTATGGTTTTGACTGGTAGACTATGCTGTCGGTCTTTAAAGAGCGTCGGGGCTTTTACGGCGAGCAGACCCTTCACTTGGAAATTGCTCCAGTCTTTTGAAGACTTGTTTTCAAGCCTTTCAGGATGGGTGGGAAGCAGCCTTTCCTTCTCGGCTAATGCCACCTCACTTTCCAGGTGTGGCCCTCCATCACTGTGTACCTGACTCAAGTCTGAGTCGGCCACCTGGAACTGGAGCGCTTCCCCACTCGTGAACACTACAGTTGATCCTTCGCTGCCAGGGGCCCTTGTTGCCACGGTCTTCTCTCCTCTCAGCAGCTGGGAGGCTGAGGCAGAAGGATCGCCGAGAATTCAAGGACAGCCAGGGCTACAAAGAGACCCTGTCAGTAAATGATTGCTATTAATAATAATACAAGTGGAGAGTAGCTGAGGAAGATACATGGACCTCTGGCCTCTTCACATGTATTCAAGGGTGTGCACATATAAATACATTGTTTTTTATTTTTATGTGCATTGGTGATTTGCCTGCATGTCTGTCTGTATATCAGGTAACCTGGAACTGAAATTACAGACAGTTGTGAGCTGCCACGGGGTGCTGGGAATTGAACCCAAGTCCTCTGGTAGAACAGCCAGCTCTTAACCGATGAGTCATCACTTCAGACCCTGTTTGTTTTCTGAGACAGCACCTCTCTATTATGTAGCTCTGGCTGTTCTGGAACCTGAGATGGAGATCAGGCTGGCCTTGAACTCCGAGATCCGCCTGCCTCTGCCTCCCGAATGCTGGGATTAAAGGCGTGCGCCACCACTGCCCGGCTAAATAGTTTTTTAAAGTACAAAACAAAACCACAGAAAGGAAATCCGCGGAGTGATCCTGCTGTTGTCACTCTCTAGCAAGGGCACAATGCTACGCGTACCTTCGGGTAGGCCACTCTCAGCACGAGGAACAAGCACACTTCCTGAAGCAATTCCTTCTGTCTGCCCCTATCATCTGGGGCCCTGACTTGTTCATGCACAGAAGAGCCATACTGGAGTCATGATAACTAACAGAAGTGCTAGCAGGGTCCGTGGATGTCTTCACTGCTTGTGTTTGCTTGTCCTGATTCAGTGAGACCAAGAACAAACCCTAAAACCACAACCTATAATTATACTATAGGATCAATTATTAAGCATGTCAGGGCTGATGCCTGCTGTAAGCATTTTGTGGTCAGTTTTTGTTGGATTTTAGACATAAATAGCATAGGTTGTTTTGGAATTTTTGTTGTTGGCTTTGGGAGATGGTTTCTCTGGGTAGTCCTGGTTGTCCTGGAACTCACTCTGCAGACCGAGCTGGCCTCAAACTCACAGAGATCTGCCTGCCTCTTAAGCTCTTCTTCTTCTTTGGTTTTCAAAACAAGGTTTCTAGGTGCAGTCCTGGCTACCCTGGAACCCAGGCCGGCCTTGAACTCAAGAGATACAGCTGCCTCTGCCTCCTGAGTGCTGGGATTAAAGTTGTGCATCACAATGCCAGGCTAGTCATTTTAATATAGTAGTGAGGAGGTAGTATTTTTAAATTATCTGTGTTCTTAATTCAGTGAAAACAAACAAAACCAAACCTGAAATCACTGTATGGTATAAAAGAATGAACACAATATTAAAGCCACTCCCTTGGTGACTTGTCAAATAGGGACTGTGTGGCCTTATAATCACATTACACAGTAGAAAATATCACATGTGTAGGGCAGGACAGATGCTTAGTGTAAGAACACTGGCTGCTCTTGCCGAATATCTGAGTTCTGCTCGCAACTGCCTGTAACTCCAGTTCCAGGGGATCTGGTGCCATCTCCTGGCCTCCAAGGGCATCTACACCCACATGCACATACCCCAAAACAGGTACAGCAACCGGTACTCTTAACCACTGAGCTAATCTCCAGCCCCCAAAGGCTGACTTTTAAAACTATTTATTTATTGATGCCACAGTGCATGTATGGAAGTCAGAGGACAATTTACAGGAGTTGATTCTCTCCTTCCACCATGTGGGTTCTGGGAACCAAACTCAGGTTGTCAGGCTTGGCTTTTTTACCCACTGAACCCAGAGGCCTCCTCTTTAATAGTTTATATGTCTTGTATTTGCTTCCCTTCTTCACACTTAACTCAAGTCTGTTTAAATAAATGTTCTGGGTCAGCAAGGTAGCTCAGCAGACCAAAGTGCCTGGCATTTATGCAGAGACTGAGTTCGAGCCCCAGAACTCAGAGTGAAAGAGGAAACTAAATCTAAAAGTTGTCCTGATTTCCACACTCACATACGCTCTTGCACTCACAAACGCATGCACCACAGATAAAATATTTAAGTGTGTCATTTAACCATTAGGAGAAAAGAACCGTTTCTCTGTGTAAGCAACAACAATGGAGTGTTAAAAGAACATTCTCATTTCCTATCTGCAAAGCAGTACTTTACAGAAAAAAAATGCAGTTCTCACTTATCCTTCACTGCTCCCGAGTCCTGGAGTGTGTCCAGCATGGCTGAGGTGCACCTGCAGGGTGCAATGAACACGGGCACGTCCTCCTGACAGTCCTTAGCTGTGTGTACACTCGGCAGTGTGTCGACAACTGTGTACTGACAGGAATCCAACATGCCACGACTATTCCCACCCCATGCCAATCTCCAGCAACTCATTTCCTGTCTCCATAGCCTTTCCCATTCCAGAGTGTCATGGAGTTATAAGGGCATTGGAGGGAACGTGTCTCTTTATGGTTTGTTAGTCCTTTTCTCTTTATTGATGAATCTTACCTCGTTATATGTATCTAGCAGTTTGTTTAATTTGGGGATTCTGTTTTTGTTTTGCTTTAGGACAACCTATGCAGCCAAAGCTATTTTTGCTTTTGTGATCCTTCTGCCTAAGTCTTCTGAGTTCTGAGATTATAGGCATGTATCACCATGCCATTTTCTTTCTCTTTTTTGGAAATAAGAAATAAAGGATTGTGGCTCATGCCTGGAATCACAGAACTTGGGAGGCCGAAACAGAAAGATCAAGATCAGCCTGTGTTACATGGCAAGACCCTGTCTCAAAAAAAAAAAAAAAAAAAAAACAAAAAAAAAACAAAAAAACCCAAACCCAAAAAACTGGAAAGCCATTTAGAGAGGGCGACAAACCTTGTGGCGAAGAGTGGATGCTGGTTCTGTGTCAAGGGCAGGCCTGTGGGTGGCCAGAGTAGGCAATCAACATGAGCCCTGGGCAGCCAGGGTAGGCAATGAACGTGACTCCTAGGCTCGGGCTATCTGGGAGGAATGGTGGGGGGTATGACAGGTGCTGGTGCTCCTGAGATCTGTCCCAGGCCTTTGAGACTTCCTGCTGGGCTCATAGAAGTCACACACCACCCCTTTCTACCTCTTCCTGGCAGAGGTAGTTACGAAAAGCTGGCCACAGACATCTTTTTATAAATACACTGCACAGCTTTCCCAGGAGACCAAGAACTAAAAATTTAGTATATTCTTAGCCAAACTGGCAGGCTGCTTGGCTGTTGGGACTCTATTCACCAGCTGACACCATTTGTCTGATACCATTCTTGAATAAAGCTTCAAAAGTCATCTGGTCAGCCAGCAGTGGTGGCACACTCCTTTAATCCCAGCACTCAGGAGGCAGAGGTAGGTATATCTCTTAAGTTCCAGGCCAGCCTGAGCTACAGAGTGAGTTTCAGGCCAGTCACAGAGAGACTCTGCCTTGAAAAACAATTAAAAAAAAGCCACCTGGCCATCTGATCTACCCTTACAATGACCACTTGAGACCTCCTGGGCAAATCTCCGATAGGTGATCTGTCCTCTGCTGTTCTTCCCAGGTCTAGCCAGCCTCTTCATTGACAGCTCAAATGCTCAGGAAGGTTTACTGAAACCTAAAGCCCCTCTTCCTTGTTGAGCAACGCAGGCATTAATAACCCTTACTCTGGCATTGGTCCCTCCTCCAGGCCAAGTGCAGGGGCCTCAGGAGCACTGAAGAGCCCTGTGCAGTTCACCTGAAATGCTGCCCAGCAGATGTACGACTTCCCCAGCTTCCAACCATGAACAGCCATTTCTATGGGGTTAGCGCTGGATTTCCTTCTGTCTTCACTGCAATATTCTGTATCTTCAGCTGAGGATAGTTAACAGCATTCTTTGGATGTTAAATATGTAAGTTGAGGCTGGACACGCCTTTAACCCCAGCACTTAGGAACCAGAGGCATGAGGTTAATGGTAAATTCAGGGTCAGACTGGTCAACAAGGTGAGGTCCTGTCCAATAAAACAGTAGTAAAAATGTAAAAATGAATTATGACAATCGGAGGGCTAAAGATGTGGCTCAGTTGGAAGAGTATTTGACTAGCATGCACGAAGTCCTGGGTTTGATCCCCAGTACTGCAAAAGCTGACCAGGAATGGCGGCACATGCCTGTACTCACAGCTTTTGGAAGACAGAGGCAGGAGACTCAGAAGTTCAAAGTCAACCTCTACTATAGTGTTTGAGGACAGCCTCGGCTACATGGAACTTGTCTTTCTCTCAAAAAATTAAGAAAGCAATCCAGACAAATTTCATACTAAATCTGTGTCAGTGCCATCTGCAGTACCCCACAAAGTTCTGGATGCACTGCGAATGGAGGACAGGAGCGCGCGATCCCACCTCCCCAGCATCCCCACTTCTCTTCATCAACAAGTCCACAGCCTGATCTTGCTGATACGTTCCGTTTATTCCCGCAGTAGACAATCCTCTCAAAGTGCAACACTCCGCCAGTCTGTCACAGCCCCTGCTCCTTCCCCTCCAGCAAACACCTGGAAATTCATCTTGGCGCACTGACAAACTCCTCTGATGGACGAGTACTGCCACTGCCAGTGTCACAGGGAAAAAAAACACACACACACACAGACAAAGGACAAACAGAAAGGCTCTAAGAGGAGCAGGGCCATGAAGGCAGAAGGGAGAACAGCCTGAACATGACTTTCCCTTCCCTAGCAGCAATCATGCTGGTCACACTGGCTCCGGAGACCTCCACCTGTTTTGAGAACCGATGATACTGTAACCATAACCTTATGTGGTATCTCAGCCTCAGAGGCCCATGGAGACTTCTTCAGCTCCTCTGCAAAGAATGGGTGGTGTGGCTAGACTGGTCATCCGATTTCCCCTTTTAGCAGTTAGGCAGAGCACCTGAAGAACACTGGGCTGGAGATGGTACCTGACAGTGAGAACCCTCTCTCTAATGGGAGCAGGGCAGCATACTTTGGATGGGAGGGGAAAAGCCCAACTGTCAAATACTATAATGACCAAGAGGATGGGAAAAGACGAGCAGCTCTAGAAAACATAGGAGATTCAAATGTTTGAACAAATGAGATTTTAAAAAGGTAAAACAAAACATCTAACCACTAGGCCTCATTCATAAACGAACTGCACATGTATGCATGAACACACACACACACACACACACACACACACACACACACACACACACACGAACCAGAGATGCCCAAAGGAAGGCAAGTCCAAATGTCTGCTCTTTGGAATTTTTGAGGTGACCTGAGCACAGGCAAATGTGAAGGCCCTCTGCCTTAGCCAAGCTTCCAGAGGCAGCCTTTGCCTGAGCCCTTCACAGTCACCCCAGAAGGCATTCTTCAGGCTCCTGGAGTCTCACTCGTGGCTGGACGTCCTTCTTAGATGGCTTCACCCATAGCAGAAAGACCTCCCCTCTCGGGCCCTGCACTTTGGAAAAGGCATCCCCAGACAGCAGTGACTTGGGGGGGGCTCAGGAGCTGGAAAGCTGGAAGAGTCTGATGGATATAAGCAGCTGCTGCTATGGTCAGAACTCCTGGGACCATGGCTGAGGACCGGGAGGCTCAGTGCTGCTTTAGAGAGAGGCCTTAATTTAAGGCACTGCCATCTTGGCTCCCAAGAGCCCAGTACTCAGAGTTACTTGAAGCTGCTGTAGCTGCCCACTTCTTACTTGATCTTGGGTGCTCTTTTGAACTCTCTGGCCTTAGGCTCCCAGAGTCAGCTCACCCAGCTTCTCTGATGAGGACATGCCTGCAGGAGCCTTCTGGGCATTGGGGATCTGGACAGTTTGTTTACATCCAGGCATCGAGGACCAAAAGTCTTTTCCAACCACAGCCATCAAATGAAACCATCCAGCAAGGCTGCCATTTCTTCAGATGTCCATGTCAGCACTGTCGGATCTACACAGAGTGTAATGTGGCACCAACCAGCTGTCACTTTCTCCTCCACGAGGGACATGCAAGCCCTACAGACCACGCTCAGTACACAAGTCCCGCTCGTACGGGAGGCTGGGATTAGTCACTGCCCTCAGCTCCAACCCCACACGGGGATCTACACTTTAATCTAGCTTCTGACTGAACTGCATTCTTCTCCAGCTTCTCTTGCAGGGCAGATACCAGCAAAACCAGAGCTGCCCAGGATCATGGTTTAAGTGCTGCAGTGCCTAAGAAGGAGAGTCCCACTGAAGGGAACTGGAGGTGTAAGGCGCAAAGAACACAGAACCCTAAGCTGTTGTCACACCCTAACACACGTTCAGAGTGGTGGGCTTGGGGGAGAGGAACACACAACAACTTAACAGCAGAGCTGGAAGAGGCATTCGGTTCCTGGATGTGCAAGCATTCATAATACTGATAACGCTCAGCTTGGACTCAGCACAGGGCACATACATGTGGTCGGTAATCAAGTCCTTTGTACAGCAGGATGCCAAGAGGCATCTGGATAGCACACAGCAAGAAAATAGCTGCACTCCTGCACAGAACCCCATTAAAAAAGTGTTTGTCTATTACAAAGTCAGATTTTCCCCATTGTTTCCTGTTTTATAAAGTCAGCAATGCTGGAAGGTGTCTAGCAGAGTCCGTCTTCCAGGAATGAGTGCAGAAGGGGAGACAAGACTCAGGTAGAGCCCTTCAGTGAGCAGACAGAAGGACTGCCTGAGCCTCGCATCCATTTCAGACAAACACACAAACAGAAAAGGATTATTGCCAGCGTGTGCACTTTCACAATGTGATTTTTGTATTTCGAAAGCTTGAATTGTCCCTGAAAGAGAAAAAGGGAGAAAATAAGAGTATTCAATATATGGACCATCTAGATATAAAACACACACACACACACACACACACACACACACACACACACACACGGGAAAGGACTTGACCAGTTCTCCAGCTCTCCACACCCAGCCCTTCCCTGCCAGTCTAAAATCAAACAGCAGCATGCCTTCAACGTCCCCACAAAAACTGCCAGCTTTTTGCTTGGAAAGGCAAAAGGTTAGTAACTCCCTAATGCAGGTGAAATATTAATGCATGCACATTCTCACAATTGGACACTAGCTTTAAAAAGGGAGAAGCTTTCTGCTAATACGGAAACATCTCCAAGATCAACCAGCAATCTCTAGTACACAGCAGTGGGTACACAACAGCTATCTTCAGTGGAGGTGGGCGAGAAGAAAGGCTACATACATATTCATCTGCCTGGATATAATACTTTAAGGAACTCTGGGGGCTGGAGAGATGGCTCAACAGTTAAGAGGACTAGCTGCTCTTCCAGAGGTCCTGAGTTCAATTCCCAGTACCCACATGATGGCTCACAACCATCTGTAATAGGATCTGATGGCCTCTTCAGGCATGCAGAGCATTCATACATAAAATATAAATATAATATAGAATTTAAAAAAAGGAACTCTGGAACACACAAAGTCACCTAAGGTGGGACAACAGGGCCCAAAGGCAAGTGGGCAGGTGAAACAGGGAGGAGGAAGACACAATCAGCCCAAGCAATAAACAAACCCCACCCACCACAGCCCACCCAGTTTAAAACAGAACAGCATCTCCAGAGGGTGTGCCCTGCTACCAGCAGAAAAGCTTTTCCTGAAAGAGGAACATGGGATGTGGCCCCAGTATGGTCTTATGTGCCTTCTACTGGGTGCAGGCAGCCCTGACCACCGGTCTTGTCTAGAAATCCAGCCACAGCTCAGCAGCTCACATCACCTGAACCTCAAAATCCCATGGGTTTCCCTGGCAGGGACTTTAAGCTGCTGCCCTAGCCCAGAGCTTTGAGTTTAAATGCACCAGAAACTCTGAAACAAACTCTCATTTCTCAGACTTCTGAAGTCAATTCTTCTTCCATTAAAGGGTTGCTGTAGCACTTAACTGATCTTCCTTAACATTGCTACATGTAACTGGGCTTTGACAACTGGTCCAGAGTAAATCAACAACGAAGAGGGAATATGCTCAGGAAGCCACATGGCAGTTCTCTACTGCCACTGGCTACTGAAAACAAGCTGACAGTGACCAAGAGCCCCACTGTTCTATATGCCAAGAGATGGGTGAGCTGCTTGAGGGAACCGGGAAGAAACTGATATGATTTCCAAACTCCACTGGCCTTTCTCTAACTGACACACATGACCCTGTGGCTCACCTATCAACTGTTTGCATCTAAGCAGCTGAACACAAGGTTAATTGGCAACCATTGATTCCTGGAGCGTCACAAGAGGCCAGCAAAAGATGCTAAGGAACCTTAACCATGCCACAGAGGAGCACATGAAGAAGTGATGTTCAAAGGTTCTTTCTGAACTCTTAGCTGGTGTGCTATGTCACTAAGCCCGCATTTCAGATGACACCTTTTCTACATGTTCCACCTGCTAAACTGACCACAGGAAGTGTGCTCTGCCCCACTTCTTCCCTCTCAGAGCCGCCTCTGTGCCCAGACAAGGCTGGACAAAAACAAGTCTGCTCTTGGGAGGACAAACAGGAAGGCGGGGCAGTGGGAAAGTGACCAGACTTTCCAACTCAGGAAGAGAGACAGGACTGTCTCCTGGGTAAGGAGATGGGTAGCTGAGTCTCTGGATCTAGCACAGGTAGGGGGCAGGAAGAGGAGCTCAGGGAAATAATGATCAGCGCTGGGGCTGGGCCAGAAACGCCCTTCCCTCTGTGCAGGCCACTGGAGAGTTCTGCTCCACGCTCCTTCAACAATCAGGCAGTCTAGTTACTTCCCATCAGAGGCCTCTCTCTAGTAAGAAAACCTAAGCAGTCCTATCATCTGAAGGTCTGTTTGCAAGATGGAAAAGGAAGATTAGAAGAGCCATAACCCAGGAGCCTCTTCCCAGATTAATAGAAAAACAAAGAGCAATGAAGGTAGGTGGCAGGCTCTGCCAGGACAAGCTGAAGCAGGACGGCGGCAAGATCTATAGCAGTAGACCAGTCTTCCCCAAAGTAATTCTAGAATGTCTACTTTTTCCCTAAGAACTACATTCAGTCGGGTTCTGGCTATAGAACAAGAAGTTAGGTGACAGGAGAATAAGAAAGAAAGTGGTGCAGGCTGTCAGTGGCTTCTCCTGCACTTGTCCTTCTCCTTTACCTTTGTTTGCTGTGGGTACAGGCTCTCTCTATGTGATCCTTGCTGAATTGGAACTTGATATATAGACCTGGATGACCTCCTGCCTCAGTTCCCTAGTGCTAAGATTATAGGTGAGTGCCATACACCTATGTGTGCTTCTGCTCTTCTAAAACAACCACCAAAAACCAAATCAAACCAACCAATCACCCAAACAACGAAACATTAGCAACTAGCCCCCTGGCCATGATGTGGCGGTGTGTGACTGAGCGGTGTAGCCTGAGCATATGGACACCTGAGTACCCAGGCCCAGACCGAGAGGAAATCGGCAGAATTCTTATGAATTCAATTATATGGTCTTGATAAGATCTCAGAAACACCTGAGACTCCCATTCAAACTGGTTTCTAACTTCATAGTCCCAGTTACCTTGGGGAAACTACTGTCCAAATACTCCCAAATGACTTTCTAATTTTCTTTGCTTCAAAAGTCACTTAACTCAAGTTCTAACTTTGGGAACAGTGGGCTAAGGGAGGGGTTAACTCCTTGGGCAGAGGGGCACATCTCAGAAGGATGTGTTCCTCTGCAAGTGTCCATCTCTGCACTTGTGCCAGTGGTAGCACCAAAGTGACTCTGGGTCCTCAGGTGAATGCTGCCCCCTGCAAGTCTCTGTTCACCGTGACCTGCTACCCTGAATACACCTGCCTCATCCCTGGCTATCCATGGGCTACCCTGGTGGGTGGTTTTGCCGCCTTCTTCTCTCCTTGAAGAGTTGGCACAGTTGTAAAATCAAGGTTCAATGGGAGTGAATTTTAATCTCGTGTCTTACTAAACAATCATGACAGCGGCCCTGACAAGCTACACACACTCTTGTTCTGTCCATGCTAGTCCAGTGATCAGGTAGCCAGGGTCCACTCATCAACCTAGTGTATGTTCATTAAAAGCCACGGCTGCATAATCAAAGTTAGAGAAAATAGTCTCAGTATGTGTAAACATGTAACATATAAACATAGCAAGTAATTTGGGGAAAATTACAAGTTTAAGATGTATGCACGTATGGTTTTGTTTTTTGAGACAGGATCATGTAGCACAGCTTGCTCTGTAAGGGAAAATGACCCTGAACTCCTCATGCCCTTGTTTCTGTCTCCCAAGTGCTAGGGGCATATATATGAGTCATCATGTTCATTATTTTGGAGTGGGGGCAAGGGTTATACTATGTGGCCCACTCTGGCCTTTTCAGTAATCCTCCTACCTCTGCCATGTTGGGACTAAGGTGCCACCCTGTCCAGCTAGGATTACCTAAACAGCAGTTTTTCTATCAATTTTCTTTACAGATCATGATCCATTTGTATAGGAAAATAGCAAAGCAAGAAAGGAGCAGGAGGCTAAGATGCTGTGTGGCAGGTGTCTACATCTTGGAACACCTCTCTCATTGAAAGCAAGATCCAACCAGTAGAGATGGACTATGAGGTCTTTTCAAGTTTGTTACGGTACTGTGATGGGCGTTTTGGATTTCAGTTAGAATGTTCCTCACAGACTCCTCCTGAACCATCAAGTGCATAAAGACACGGAGGACTACAAAGAGGAATATACAGTAGTGATCACGCAAAAATATGACTCTTCCAGACAAGTCAAAGGTATTTCACTTGGAAGAATTTAGAGTCTGCGAAAGAAGAAATCATTTAAAGTTTCTAGTTTAAAGAATTTAGGGCTGGGCGGTGGTGGTGCACGCCTTTAATCCCAGCACTTGGGAGGCAGAGGCAGGTGGATCTCTGGGAGTTCGAGGCCAGCCTGGTCTACAAGAGCTAGTTCTAGGACAGGCTCTAAAGCTACAGAGAAACCCTGTCTCGAAAAACCAAAAAAAAAAAAAAAAAAAAAAAAAAAGAATTTACACCCCCCACCTGCCCCTGGGCTGGAGGCAGGGGAGGACACACAAGATTACAACATAACCCAGGTAGGCCTTGAATTCACATGTAGGTCAGGTTGGTCTCAACTCTTAGCAATCCTCCTGCCTCAGCTTTCTAATTGCTAAGAGTGTAGGTGTGAATCACTATGACTGATCAAAACTCAATTTATAACAGAATCAAGCTATTAAAGTCGGGGTGAGGAGAGGGAGCTCAATGTGGTAGCTCATGCCTATAATACAACCCCTCAGGAAGTGGAGGTAGGAGGATCAGGGGCTCAGGGTTATCTCAACTACACAGTGGGTTCAAGGCCAGTCTGGGCTACATGAACCCTATCAAAACAAAACAAGAGCTGGGAAGATAGCTTAGTAGGCAAAGTGCTTGCTGTACGAACATAAGAACTTGAGTCTGGATTCCCAGAACCCATAAAAAGCCAGGCAGGATGGTGCAAGTCTGTAATCCTCATGTTCCGATAAGGAAGGCAGAGTGAGTAAAATCTCTTGCAAGCTCTTGGGGTATGCAATGGCGAATAACAAGAGACTCTGTCTCAAACAAGGTGGAAATGAAGGCAGACAGCCAAGGTGTTGTGTACACACACACACACACACACACACACACCCTACCCACCTCCTATTTTTTAAAAAAAAGGGAGCTGGAAACACCATCCATTTTCAGGAATCTTGCAACTAGTCCTCCTAGATCACACCACACCACGCAGCACCCAGACTTGTAGTTGCCTGCTTCTACTCCCCACAGTGTAACTTCGTTTAGCTCATCTGAGAGTGGCAGGTCTACTTTTCTGGAAACCTTCAATCCTTCCTGGGGCAAGAGGACTCTTGAAGCAGCTACTGTAGAGGTTCATGGTGCCTGACGTCTAAGTGAGGAAAACAATCTTCTCCTTTCAGCTAAACTTACCCCGTTCCCTCTTCTAGAGACCCACATGGACTAGACACTCTCTTGATGAACTGCAAATACTCAGGTAGGCAGACCCTGGAGTGGGCCCAGCCTTCCCTACTCTGGGGTCCATCTCTGTCATATCACCATGGTCATAACCCTGAAATCCACCTGTCTGCTGACTTTCATCGTGGAAACCAAATTTACAACACTGTTTCCTCACAACTGACAGATGGCAGCAGCAAATGAGAAACATACCTCTCACCTAACCCATACTGGGGCCTGTGGAACGGTCCCTTAGCTACAGAATATTGGGAGATGGCTTAAAAATGGCCATAGATGAACAAAATAGGACGCTATGGTGCAGTTACTCTCATGAAAAGTTACCATCTGAAGAGAGCTCAGATCTGTTGGTGCACAGAGCTAACTGGGAGCAGAAGCGGGAAGTCTGCTGACCTGAGACACAGGACCCAGGGAGGCAAATGGGAAGGGCATCCCCTTGGGAAGAGGGCTCCTATAGCTGAGAGGTAAGTCATGGGGTTACAGAGAAGGTAGACAAGGCCCTACCCTGAGTGTGAGAGACAGAGGGGGAGCGTCCGATCAGCGGCCGCTGCTGTTCACCAGGCCATGAAACTCCTCCCAGGCCCTGGTAAACCAGAGACAAAAAACAACAGCACATTCAGGTCAGACGCTTTGAACAGAGAGCAGACACCATCAGCCCACCTCCCACTTCGACACCCTCCATGCTGACTGGAAACACAGAGAGCTGGGTAGAGTGGTGAGGTCTCAGCAGCTTTCTTCTTAGACCGACAGGCAGCTGGCATTTTTGGCTTGCTTTCCTTAGGAAGTCTAGCCTTCACTACCCCCTGAGGACTTGCCAGTGTTCCTTCAACAGGGGCAAAGGGGGGCCACTGAGGTCAGAGTTGAAGCTCAGCCATGCCCACAAACATGTCCATCTTGCTTCAGCAAGGGCACCTGTCCCTGCCTTTGCTGCACTGGGTCCATGAAACAGGTAGTGGAAGAAATGTTTCTTCATTGGGCCTGACCCTGAGGGTAAAGCCAGGGATCCACCAGAATTATCACTAAAGACGCAATCCAGTTATAGATCATGTTCTCTGTTTTCACCTTTCTAACCTTCTAACCTTTCTAAACTTGAGATGCTAAATATGTCAGAGTCTATCTGATTCTGAAAACACCCATGTAAGTCCTATCTTTAGAATTAAGATGTGTGGGTCATGGCAGCCAACATTTCCAGTTAACACAGCCCATTACAACCGCATGCTGATTAACACATTTTGGTGAACATAATTTAGAAATGTGATTAGGAAGGAATTAGAAGTGGGAATGGAGGGATGCACACTCAGCTCACAGCACAGCCAGTATTCCACAAACAGGTCGCCAGGCGCTGCTGCACGAAAAAGGAGACTTTAGATCCTCCAGAGTTCTGGGATCTCTCCCCACCCCATTTTCTCTCGCATTTTTGTCCTACCCACTTATCAGTTTGAAAGCAGTGATTGTTCTAGGCACTATATATCACACTTAATGCCAGTCTAGAGTTTGCTAATGTAGACCACACTGGCCTCAAACTCAAGAATTCTGCCTCCTCTATCCCCCTATTGCTGGGATTAAAGGCTGTACTACCAGCCCAGGCAACTATTTTTTTTTTCTTGGTTTAAGGTAGTAACACTACCGAGTGACAATACATCATGCCCCTCACTATACATTTAGTATTATAAGTACTAAAATATATTTCATTACCAGGCACTATAGGCAGTTTTTCTCTATTAAAAAAAAAAAGGAATGGGGACCTGGGTAAAGTGGGACACACCTTTAATCTCAGTACTTGGGAAACAGGATGGTGGATCTCTGTAGAGTCTTGAGGTCAGCTGGTCTATATAGTAAATTCCAGGGTGACCAGGGCTACATTGTGAGATCACGTCCCAAAACTAAGTAAAGTTATTAAGGACTACGTAATGTCTGTCCCAGTTTCATCAGTATTTTCCCTCTGCAAAATAGCAGTATTTATGTTTTCCCCCAGAATATTATCAAAGCTACTAGTTTATGAGAACTTACTCAAAGGGAAATCTAAGGCTATTTAGGAAGCATGCCAGAACTTGTCGGCTCCAAGCTTTGTGGAGACAGTGATGAGCTGTACTCTGGGTCCCTAGGGGACACTGGAGAGCTCCACTAAGGGTGAAAACTCAATGCTTGGACAGTGACCTGGGAACTTCTCTAACAGCAAGATTTAACTTCCACTGTAAGTAACTTAGAGGTCAGCAGGGAATTACAGAGCAGGATTGAAGTCCATCACATTTTTTCTTTTGTTTCCAGAAGGCTCCATCCTTCCTACACTTGCCTAACAACAGATCACTGGGTGAAGATCTGGAGATCCTTCCAGCACACTCAATAAACTAAGCTCAGACATGGAGACTCTGGGTTTGGAAACTTCCTTGCATGGACTCAGGAGAAATATTAACACTTGGCGTACTTACTCTTACTCTCAAAGGCCAACCAGATGGGACTTTCTAATTACTTTCCCTTCCCCTGGCATCCCAAGTACATTAGGTAACATCAAAACTTCCTTCTTTAAAGTTATCCTAAAAATTGTTTTATGCTTCGAGCATCTAAAAACAAACAAACCAGAGATTAATGCAGCTGACTGGGAATTCTAAGCAGATCCAGTGACAGCAACTGATCCCATCTCATTTAGCAGAAAGCAAATTCTCAGAGGGACCTCATTTATGTGTAAGTCCATGCCTCCCTACCCATGCCCAAAGCCTACAGGCACCACTGCCTTGTTCTCAGCCAGCCCTCAACACCTAGAAAGGGGTTCAGCCACCTGCTAAACTGGGCACAGCATACAATGCAAGGTTAGGCAGCCATTAATCTAAAGTGGCCCACTACCACCAAGTTATGACTGAACTATGACAGAGTGAGTGCGCTGGCCCTCATATGCATATTAAAGTCCAATGCTGAAATATACAATGACAGCCAACCAGGTAAAGTAAGTCTCTACATTTGGCCTGTCTCTCTCTTTCTCCCTTATTCTGCAGAGAAATCCCATCAGTCTTCTCCAGCACTGTGCTCCATTATGGGAAGAAGGCCCTTTTGCTATTCCAGACCAGATGCACAAGAAATCAGTGCGGCAACTCCAAAGAGCAATTTTCTCACAAGACAATGCTGTCTGTGTTAACTACCTTTAGGACAGCAGCACCCTGGTGGCCCCAGAATTCTGGCTGCTATGAATTTTCTCCTCAAATAGAGGATGAAGTGAGCCATCTGATGTGAGGACCCAAACCTATGAAAACGCAAATCTACTTCATGATGAGGAGCCATGAGCTAGGCATAAACTGGGCACGGTGGCACACACCTCTAATCCCAGTACTCTGATGTGAGTTGGGGGCCAGTGTGGACGACATGGCAAGTTCTAGAGCTGTGACCTGGCACAAACACAAGTGAGTAAGCTCTGTCTTTCTTAGGGATAGTGAGCAGCACAAGGACCAAGCAAACAAGCTTGTCTGTGGGGCAATGCTGCAGAAAACCACAGCAGGCAGGTGATCAGGGAAGGCTGGAAAGACACACAGGTGACAGACACTAGAAATTGGCTGAAACACAGAAGAGAAAGCTGGGGTAATGCTTGAGTGAGGAAGCTGAGCAACTCCTAAACACATGCCCTTCACTCTTAGCTGCCCTCATCTCCAGAGGACGTGGGAGACAGCCATTACTGCTGGTGTTCTCGAGTCTCAGCAGACGCTGGGAGCCACAAGGAAGAGACCAAGGCAGCCGTGCTGACACCTCACCAGTGGCTGGCACCTGAAGGGGTCTCACCTCAGTCTGCTGCTGAAAGGCACCAACTCTGGAAAGTGGCATCAAGCTTATTTGCTGGCACAGCTATAATGCACACGTACCCCACAGTGAAAGATAGGTCGAAGGCCCAAGAAAGCCAGTGTTTGACATGTGCTCAACAGACGACAGGCTTTCTGCATCCCAGCAAATCTCCTTTTTCTAGATACGTCAATTTGGAGAACGTGATGAAGCAGCACTGGCACGAACATTTCCAGAACACAGAGTCTAAGGTCTCACTGTGTGTTCTGTGGACTCCTGGGTCACACAAAGACCAGGATTAAGTCAGCCAGCTGGTATTAAGGAGTGTGCTGCTGATAGACTGGACGAGGCACTCTGGAAAACTCAACCTTGTAGTTACTTCCCACTCAAGCAACAAAAATGCTTTTTAATTTTTAGTTTTGGGGGTAGCTAACAAAGCTTGCTGAAACTTTCCATGCAGAGTAAGGCCTGAAAGCCAAGCTGCATACACACATAAGCAAAGCCATAGTACTCACAAGGCAAGTGTACATTCAGATTACCTCAGGGGTAAATTTCCCCAAGATGAAGGCACCTTCTTACACTAGAGCTGGCACAGTAACTCTGGGCTAGGAGGAGGAAGGAAGGGCTCTCACCAAGCAAGACTACCAAAGAGAAAGACAATCTACTCTGCAAGGAAAGGGAGGAGGCTGCCAAGCGGCTTTGGCACCAGAGAGAATACCCCATTAGCACAAAGCAAAAAAGTATGTATGTACAGCCACAGACAGACAGAAGCAGGGCTTTAGCTCCAAGCAAGAGATTTCTATGAACTAAAAGCAAATGGAAATTAGCAAAGAAAAGCCAAGAATACCCCTTCTCCAACCTTAAGAGACTTTCAAGCTGGACCTGAACTCAGCGGCTACTCTGGGCCAGCCATCGGTCTAACTGGATGGAAACTAATACACTTGAGCACCAGGCAGTCGGGGCTTACTTTGTTAGATGTCACCTCCTTATGTCACACCGCAAGAGTCCAAGAATAAAATACCATATGACTACACAATAGGCTTGTGGATTCCCTGAATGGCCCTGCATAGAGAAGTCTGTGTGCCATCCCTTGGTAATGGTGACAGTCAATCCAAAGGCCACATCTTGATGCACCATAAAGAGCAAGAGCATGAGACAAGCTGGTTTAGCACCATTTATTTGTGATCTCAGCTGTTGTTGGAGCTGCTGCTGTCAGCCTGTTCTCAAAGCATAACATGCTCTTCCGTTCCTCTTGTCCAGGACAGAAGGGTCTTCCAGGTGGCACGCCAACAGAACAAGAGACTCCGATGATGCCAGCTTCAATGATGGTGCCATCCAGAGAGGGAGAGTGTCATGGCACATTCAATCGCGGCTTCCAGAGGTTTTGAAAAAGGAGCCTTTGGGGGCCCAGCCTGCCTGGCATTCTAGTGGAAGTGCAAAAGGTAGCTCATTGGGAGAGGAAAGAGAGTGGGGAGCAAGGGAAAGTGACATCTGGGTCTTGAGGAGGGTGTTACAGCTGCAGGGCAGGAGTCCCAGAGGCTCTAAGTCCTGGAAGGACTTGTTCATGGGATTTTATAAGTCAAGATGAATTGCCTCCAGGTATCAGAAAGGGAGAACAGTGGGGAGTGAATGGAACGACCCTTTCCTAACCAGGTTAAAAGGGAACCTAGCAAACAAGAATCCTAGGGAAAGATGCAGACCTTTAAAGCTTGGACTAAACCTGGCAGGAGGGCAGACACTAGTCTATCCTGCAGCAGAGAGTAAGACAGACTACTCTAAGAAAAATAGCAGTGATATAGGATTGCTGAGACAAGCAACCAGGTCCATAGATGGGAAATGAGTGCTGGTCGCTCCAGTGAGTCAGAGCTAGCCACTGGATATCAGACCAATTCCCATGGCAGTACTCCCAGTTAAAAACTGGCACCTAGTTGGTAGAAGCAAACTCCACCCACAACATCCTATGTGAACGCATAGGAAAGAGCCTCACATAGTATCCCTGCTGAATACAACTACTGGCTCACTATTAGTTTTGAACAGGAACGACATGATTATGACATTGTACTAATGATGACAGCAATAATACTTGGCCCTGTAAGTAAGAGCTTTCTTGCTCTAATGACCCTTAGTTATAAAGATTAAACCAGCCTTACCACGCCTTACTATTTATTCCTGTATTCTTATCTTATAGCTGGAGAAACTGAAACAGAGAGGTAGAGACTTGCCAAAGGCACATACTGACTCAGGGCCACAGGAGACAATAAACATAAAGAGACCTGACTCCTGGCTGGCTTTCCATCCTCCTTTGAGACAATCTGTCAGCCACTTCCCTAACCTATTCATAATGACCTGAGTTTATCTCTGTCACTAACCCTGAAGGAGCAAGCCCTTACCAGTGATTCCCAAAGTAGACAACACTTATTGTCTTCTTTGTCCTATGACTCTACCTTCCTTCCTTCCGTTCTCCTTGCTCACAATCTACCCTACTTCCTCTAGACTTGAGTTCTAAACATAGAAAGTAGAGTCACCATCCCTGATAAGAAGTCAATCTCCCAAGACAAAGAAAACAGACTAAAGCTAACAGGTTAAACAGACATGCAAAGGTGGGGTCAGGGTGGGCAGGGAAGAGGAGTTTATTATTCAATCAAATTGTCTTTAAAAACAGCCATTAAAAAAAAAAAACCGAACCTCTGAAAGAGCTTTGTCTTTCATTTTAAAATAGTGGTTAGCATAGGAAAGATAAGACAGCCTGTAAAAATGAAGCCAGCCCAGGCAGGAAAACTGGGGTTCTGCTTCACAACCCCTCACAGTAGGTCCTTGGAGCCTCACTAACAAGAACTTCAGCAAGTGGCCAAAGCCCTACTCCACAAGTCAGTGTCATGTATGACCACATGTGTCTGGGCCCAGCTATGGAGCTACTTCTGCTAAGCTCAGGGACCTATCCCCCCCAAACCCCCCAACACGTACTTGATGCTGTCGGTGTGAGTTTTGTATTCCATAATGGTGTTGGGAGGTAGGTTAAGCACGCGCCGAAGAGTATCCCGGATTCGGGCTGTGGTTGCTTGGTCACTGGCGGTCTTATTCCATATAGAAATAATGTCCTCCTAAGGGAGGAACAGAATGAATTATCAAACCACCAGAAGCAGCAATGAGAGTAGCAGTGGCAACACAAGAAAGAACACAGGCCTGGGCTGACTTACCTGAAAGCGGACAGAGACCACAGCCCCGCAGATCTCCTCCCCAACCATGAATTGCTCCCCCAACATGGCCAGGATTAGATTTTCCCAGCAGCGAGATGCTAAGCCCTTCCGAAGTCGAATAATCCACTTGCCACCATTTTTATTTGCATCATCCTATAGAGTGAGAGAAAGCATCGAGGTGAATACTGGTCCACAGTGTCATCTTTGAATACCAAAGGAACATCTCTGAAGACCAGGGCAGTCTGGTCACATTCTAATTCAACATTACTTCAATATCATTGAGAAACGAAATAGGAGGGAAAAAGGCATCCTTGATCTAAATCACTTAGAACAACAAACTAATTAACTAACTAACTTACTAACTAACTAAATCTTTTAAAAAGAATTCACTTTTGCCAGAACAATTATTTCAGGAACCCAAGTGAAATAATGTCCCATTTTAAACACAGACCATAACCACCATTTGCTAAAAGCTGACTGTCACTAAGTATCAAGTACACAGACAAAAGTTCAGATCTTAACACAGACACAATCTAGTACAGACAGACAACAAATTACTCACAGTCACACAGTCTAACGAGTCTTACTGTAATATGCACACACGACAGTGAGAGCATATGGCTAGAACCCTCAGAGGAAGCACACATGCTGGTCGTGAGGAAACACTTAACATGTAAAGCAGGTGAAGAATGCTGAGGGCACTGGGAGAAATATGTCTCGGAGTCAGGGATATGTGAACAAGGGCTGACTGCAGGGAAGGAAAGATTTTGATATCTTCTAGAACATTTCTCCTCCTAGAAAATACTCTGGCACTAGAACATGTGTTGCGCAAGAGTGCAGTTAAGTAACAGCTCTGCAAAGAGATCAGAGCTCACCTCTGGGTCTGCTGTTACCAGCTTTTTCTTACCTCTTTAATCTTCTACCTACTAAGCACGTACACATAAACACAAGTTCTATGGGAACAAGAACATTTTAAAAAGCTTTTTACCCCTGTAACAACACCATTTAAGTGACAGAGCCTATGATGGTCTCAGGAATGGTCCCCGGAGGCTCATATATTTGAATTCATAGTCAACAGGGAGTGGCACTTTTTGAAAGAATTAGAAGGATTAAGAAGTGTGGCTTTGTTAAAATAAGTGTGTTTCAGGGGTTAGGGGGTGGATGTTGGGGTTTCAAAAGCCCATGCCAAAGCCAGTGTCTCAGTCTCTCTCAGTTTCTCTCTCTCTCCCCCTCCCTCCCTATGGATCAGGATATTCAGCTACTGTTCCCCAGTGATTGTCTGCATGCCATCATGGTCTCCGCCACTATAATGCCCTAAACCTCGGAAGCTGTAAGCAAGCCCCAACGAAATGCTTTGTCTTATAACAGTTGCTTTGGTTATGATGTCTCTTACAGCAATACAATAGTAACTAAACTAGCACCATCTTTAAAAGTCATCCTGCAGCCACAACCCAAGAATACATGCAATTGCATCAATGCCTTTTCCTAGAGGTACAGACTTCCAAAATTTATCAAATAATGTTACAGCTTCAAGAGAAAACTTCAAAATGGTTTTCATTTTGGTAGGGCTTAAATTAGAAGAAGAAAACAAAAAGAAACAAATCTGCTCTCAAAAGTCCTCACCTCCCACATAGGTTTAATTCCTTCTTTGAAGAGATGAAAGTCACTGTGGCCTGTCAGGTCCCCAGGACGTACCATGTGGCTGTAAAACTTCCAGAACTGCTCTACCTGCAGAAAGAAGAGCCAAGAGTACAAGAACTTTTTCTCTTCTTTGCATGAACACAAAGCTGTGTTACTTAAGAAGAGAAACATGGGAGACACTGCCCCAGCTATCTCCTCTGGGGGGGCACACTTTATTTGGAGTAGGGTAGAAAAAAGTCTATCATATACTGTATTTGTTTTGAGACATGGTTTCTTATTTAAGAAACTATGTCTGGCTAATACAGTTTAATCAAAGGAAAAAACAAAAGAAAAAGGAAACAAAAATACAACATACAACACTTTGAAGATAAACTCTGTGGATGGAGAGCTGGCTCAGGGTCAAGTTCACTCGTTGACCTTCCAGAGCACCCAGATTCAATTCCTAGTACTCACAGGGCAGCTCTCAACCACCTGTGATTCATAGTCCCAGGGGATCCAATACCCTCTTCAGACTTCTTTGGGTATTGCACACATGTATTGCATAGATATACGTTCAGCCAAACACTAAACTAATATAGATAAAATAAACCTAAAATCTAAAAACAACAATAAAAAACCTTGGTGAAAAATGCTGGTCTCAGCCAGCAGCAAGTCGCATCGACATACCTCCTGCCACCATGCAGTAACAAAACCAGCTTTTTGCACAACTGAAACCCTTCTGTATAAGGTATGTCAATTACCACAGGGCTGCACTCGCCTACTCATAGAGCCAAATCTTACTTTTTTCTTTTTCTTTAAACAGGGTCTTTCACTGCAGCCTAGACTGGCCTAGGGTTTCTATTCCTCCTCTCAGCTTGAAAGATTTTTTTCTCCTTGATTTACCTTAAACTTCTGAAGAAAACTAGATTTCTATTTTTCTTTCAAATGTATTTATGCACTTGTAATTCACCAGTATTCAGGAGTTAGGGGTTTGGGATCATCCAGATGAAACTATATAGTGAGACACTGCCTCAAAAACAAACAAACAAAAGGGCTGGTGCTCAGTGGTTCACTTCACGGCATCCACACTAGGTGGCTTACAACTGCCTATAAATACAACACCAGGAATCTGATGCTCTCTTCTGTAGACACTCAGCAGGCATACACATACACACACACACACACACACACACACACACACACACACACAATTTACAAACAGTAACAACAACAAAAAACCCAAATCACTTATACTCATCATTCTGGTCCCGTGATCTACAGAGGCCACCTGTAGGCACTGGCAGTAAGGAGGCACTTTAGGAAGTGGAGACATGGACAGTTACTACTAGTAACTATCAAGACCACACTCAAGAAATTGTGTAGCAGGAAACAGGTACTGGCAAAAATTCAAGCCCCTGTTAAATCTAGATAGCAAGAGAAACTGACTTATCACATGAAATAGTTGTTTTCTCCAGCTGCCTTCCAGAATAGAACATGTGAAATGTCTTCTATATTTCAAAGTCAGAACTAATGCCATCTACAAGATTTTAAAGCAATACTTCATCTCTGCAACTGCTAGGTCTATCTGTACATACAGTAATCTGGAATATTAAGTGGTCATACACATATAGTGAGCACTAATCTAAGCTTTTACTCACCCTAACAGTTGAAAAAACTAAGTAAGCTCATGAGAACCAAGGCTTACTGTGAACTAGGAATGGAAGGATGTGGTGGAGACAAAATATATTAATTTCTTAGGCAAGAATTATTTGATGGTTAGGTCTCCAGATCTTATAGACCAAATATACAAACTTGTATCCAAGCCAAAAGAGAGATAAAATAAAAAAGCTTAAGAAATAGCATTAAGGGGCTAGAGAGAGATCTCAGTAGTTAAAAGCATATACTGCTCTTCCTAAGGAGCTGATCCGATTCCCAGCACTCACATCAAGTGGCTTTTAAGTGCTTATAACACCAGATCCAAGGGGACCGATCTGACACCTCTGAACTCTGTGGGCACCTGCATTCATGTGCACACACTCCCATAAATAAAATAATAAAAAGAAATAGCATTAAACTTTGAAAGATGTCTTTTTTTAAAAAAAAAAAAAAGATTTTTATTTATTTATTGGTTTTTTTGAGACAGGGTCTCTCTGTATAACAGCTCTGGCTGTCCTGGAATTCACTTTGTACATCAGGCTGGTCTTGAACTCACAGAGATCCGCCTGCCTCTGCCTCCCGAGTGCTGGGATTAAAGGCGTTTACCGCCACCACCACCTGGCTAAGATTTTTATTTTTAATTATGTGCGTGTGTGTGTCTGTATGTGTCTGTGTACATGCCCTCAAGCTGGGAGCTGGCATTACAGGAAGTAGGGAGCTATCTGACATGGGTGCTGGAAATGTGGCTTACAGCTGCCATTCCTCAGGAAGCTGAACAAAAGAATCACAAGTTCCAAACCAGACTAAGGTCTAGCAAGACCCTGTCTAAAACAAACAAAATCACAACTTGTGCTGGTGCCTGGCTCTGTGATAGGTGGATTCCCACCTTCTCAAATGTCTGATGAGAAAAGGAGCTGCAACGACTCCTAGAGGTCTTTTCTGAGTCACTGAGCAGTATTTTTGGCTTGAAGTGGAACTTTTGAAAAGCCATCTTTTTGGGCTGGAGAGATGGCTCAGTGATTACGAGTATTTGCTGTGCTTCCAAATGACTAGTTTGACCCCCAGCACCCACAATAGGAGGCTCATAACCACCTGTAACTCCAGTTCTACTGAATCCAATGCCCTCTGAGGATGCTTACAAGTATGTATGCATATATACACATACACATAAACAACAGTAAAAAAAAATAACCTTTAGGCCAGATGTGGTGGCAGAAGCAATAAGATCTTGGTGAGTTCAAGGCCAGGCTGGTCTACATAGTAACTTCTAAGTCAGCATAGTTAGACTCTGTCTCAGGAAGAAAGGGAGGTGGGGAGAGAAGGAGAGGAAATGGGGGGGAAACAAAAAAACCCCAAAACCAACCAATCAAACAACACTGGAGCTACTGCTTTGGATTTGAAAAAGGATTCGTTATCATTATTTCTCTGGGAGGGATTATTACCATAGGCCATTTCTTTCTTTTAGGTTTTTCATTGGGACAGGGTTTCTTTGTGTATCCCTGGCTGTCCTGGAGATTGCTTTGTACGCGTGGTTGGCCTCCAACTCAGGGATTCAATTGCCTTCTCCTCATGAGTGCTGAGATTAAAGACATGTGCCACCATGCCTGGCTACAAACCATTTCCTAAGGCCGTGGATTATGACAGCAGACTTTAGGCTGTATTACTTGTCCAGTGAATACTGAGGGTATTGATGGCAAAACTCTTAATACCACAAGGAAAGAAAATAAAAACAAAATCTGCTTGTTTCCTTGGGGTAAACTCACATTTCTTTTTTTACAATTTTTTCTATATAGGAGAGAAAAATGCAAGACATAATTACAGTTATTCCAAACTAATTTAACAGAACCCTGAATGAAAACGTTTTTCCCAGTTCTTTCTCTGATCCTCCTGTTTAATCAATTGTTCCTAACATAGCAGCTGTCACAGTACATGGAAACTAGTCTAACATTCCCACATAACAGATAATCAAAACTTCTCTGATGGCTTCTGTGTTAGAAATAAATGGATAAACTGGATGTGGCAGTTCACATCTGTAATCCTAGAATTTGAGACAGGGCTGTGGCAAGCTCCAGGTCAGCTGGGTTACACAGCAAGACCCACGCTCAGAAAACCGATTCTGCACACAGACTGAACATAGGGGTGCAGGAGAATCTCTGTTGAACAAGACACACTGGAATTAGTTGTATGTAGTTAAGGTCTCTGAACTTACAGATGTAGTAAAGAGCCAGGAGCAAAGGTAAGGGTGGGCTGGGGTGAGAAGGAGCCCGAGCACTCTGTAGTGATGGCATCCACAAATTTATCAGAATTTAATTTCATGAGGACAGATACCCTATACAATAAAACTGTGTCTCTCCTATAACAACTCTGTATATAAGGACTCAATAAATACCTGCTCAAATAAGAAACTTCAAAATAAACACCCCCCTTTCTTTTTTATTATTTTGCATTATGCCTTTCTGATCAAAGCAACCATTCCCATATTTAGATTATTTAAATGTTACCTGTGGATACTAAACCTAAGAATTGAACAGGATCTTAGGAGTGCAAGCCAGTCTAGTAAGGAAACCAGAATGTTTAACAGGTTACTAAGCTAGTAGACAGTGACAGAAACGCAGGGACAAGTACCATGCCAATGAATAGTCCACTAGACTAAGTACTCACCGAGGCAAAGGTACCAATCTGCTTAATGTTCTGCTCATAGCTCTGTGAGCTGGTGGGACGGCCGGGGGTTCTCCTAGAGTACCAGAAGGTGTAGTTGTATTGCAGGGGATGTTCTGCTGGTCCAGGGACAACAGCCTGGGAAGTCCAGAAGGTAAGTTAATTCATGGCATTTGTCACAAGGATATGAGTCCAAACACTTACTGTATTGCCCTTTTCATAAGATTTAGTTTTTTTGTTTTGTGTGTGTGTACACATGCACATGCACGTGCATGCACGTGGATTGCTTGCGGAGGCCAGGAAAGGGCTTGTAATTATTTGGCATGGGTGCTGAGAATCAAACGCTGGTCTTCTGTAAGAATGGCAAGTGCTCCTAACTACTAAATCATCTCTTCAGCACCTTGTTTTTTTAAATTACGATTATTTTTCTTATCATGCATACGTGTGAAAAACTAAATGTGGGAGTATGCATGCCATGGTGTGTCTGGAGGTCAGAGAACAATTTTCAGAGTTGGTTCTTTCCTTTTCTCTGTGGGATCCAAGGACTGAACTCAGATGGCTTGAAGCTAATGAGCCATTTCTCTGATTCTTAATAAACACGTTACAGTGTTACACTGACTTGACATGATGTTACAGATCTTTTTTTTTTTTTTTTTTTTTTATTTTCGAGACAGGGTTTCTCCGTAGCTTTTTGGTTCCTGTCCTGGAACTAGCTCTTGTAGACCAGGCTGGCCTCGAACTCATAGAGATCCGCCTGTCTCTGCCTCCCGAGTGCTGGGATTAAAGGCGTGCGCCACCACCGCCTGGCGGTGTTACAGATCTTTAATTCTAGCACTGGGAGGCAGAGGCAGACAGATCTGTGAGTTTGAGGCCACTTAGGTCTTTTACTCCCTAAGTTCTCTCTATCCCAAGTCACTTTTTAATGTGTACTACTGCTGACTGAGGAGTCTAAAATAGCAATGTGTAGGATTGAATTACTGAGCGGCCTTTAATGAAGCACCAGTTGAGAACCTTGACTCCCCCATCTCACATGAGAATACTGTAAAGCAACTCCAAGACCCACAATAGAGAAAGTTCTAAGTTCCAAAATTAACTCTATAGTCATTTCACTATTTAAATTTTTTAAAACTTGTAATTATAACTGCATACTAAGGATTCACGGTGACATTTCCATATATGCATCTACCAGGCTCTGGTCACACCTAGTGACCCATGCACTCTTTGCTACCCTCTTCTGTCCTCTCTATACCTTTCCCCTGTGTTCAGTGCTAAGAATTGAATCCCAAGACTCACAATCCTTTCGTGTCTCTGTAAGTATACTTGTGGTCACGAGAGTGTGCACATGTATGTGCATATGCACAAGAGCACATGGAGGAGGAAGTCTCTCCAGCCCCCTCAACCTTTTATTTTTAGAACAAATCAAAGGTCCCAAGAGTACCCGCCATCAAGTTCCTCTGCCATCTTTAGATACAGACTCCAGGAGACAACCAAGGCTTACAGCTAAAGGTAACTACACCCGAATTACAGCCCAAAACGTACCTTCCTCTTGCCGCTGCTCTGGTTCTTATCTCGTTCTGTTTTTTCCTTCTCACCATCTTTCTGTGTGCTGTTTTCTTCATTCTGATCATGGTCTCCACTGTCATCATCTTTTAAGCTAAGTGGAAAAGCAAATTAATGTCATTCCATGACTAAACTAATCTTGTTACCTAACAAAACTATAAGGCCACAGAACTACCATGTAACTAGCCCAAAGTCACTCAAATCACAGGCCTATGAGATGTATCTGTGAAAAGGGCAAAAGGGGAGAACTAAGCAATAACTACCATTAAATTAGCTAACCTGTGATCCCCAACCATCAACCACCAGTCTTTCTGGTTCCCATCAGCAGCATAACAAAGCAGTTAAAAGGGTGGTTTTTGTTGTCAAGAATAAGTCAGTAATGAGAATTTCTGGGCAAATAATTCCTTTGACATCTGAAAGTTAAAAACTTGCCCATCTACATATATTGCTCATCCTCTCCTTCCCACCTCTCTCCTAAGTCTTAGGTTTATTTTCTTCTCCAGTCATTTAATTAATTATCAATTTCTAAATGGGTCCAACACAAATCTTTCCTGTTTTCTAAATGTGACTCTGTTATTTAACCTGTATTAGTAAGACTCTCAATTGTCAGCTTCTATTACCTATCCTCTAGAATAAAGTACAACACCAACAGTTTTTCAGAAGACTTTAGAAGCTGAGTCATGTCCAGTGCCATAGTCCTCTCCTCCCCAGCAAGCTTTCTCTATGACAAACACCTCGCCTCCAACCCAAGGAGCCATTTCCTCCCTGACTGTTTCTTTCTCAAGTCAGAGGGTTTCTAAAGATCTATTTATTTGTGTGTTTGAATGTTCTGTCTTCATGCACACCAGAAGAGGGCATCAGATCCCATTACAGATGGTTGTGAGCCACCATATGGTTGCTGGGAAGTAAGCTCAGGACCTCTGGAAGAGCAGCTAGTGCTCCTAACCACTGAGTCATCTCTCTAGTCTGAGTAAAAGGGTCTCTTCAGAGTAGTATCATACACCATCTCAGTATCACTGGCACTCAAAACAAGATGACACTGACTAAAGGTTAAATTAAAAAAAGGAGGAATGAAAGTGTTCTTGTCTCATAAGCTGAGTTAAATGTGAAAACACCTAAGACCCACCAGATGCAGACAAAATCAAACAGGTTAGGGCAAAGATAGGAGCACCATTTGCTTAATTTGGTATGATAGCTCAGTAGATAAGGACATCTGCAGTCCTGAGTTCAATCCCTGTAACCTACATCCTGGAATGAGAACCCACTCTGCTAAGTTGTCCTCTGACTTTTATACATATACTTAAAAAAAAAAAAAAGGAGAAAAAAATAGAACTCATAGCTGGGCGATGGTGGCACATGCCCTTAATCTCAGCACTTGGGAGGCAGATGCAGGTAGATCTTTGTGTTCAAGGCCAGCCTGGACTACAGAGTTCCAGGACAGCTGCAGAGGAACCCTGTCGCAAAAACAAAAACAAAAACCACACAACATACAAAAACAAAACACGAAGAGAATAGCATTCACTCTAGAATTAGACCCTTCACCCATCTGTTTTCTCCTGGATCACTTTTGGGCTATATGACAGTATATACACATAAACAGAATTGGGTATTTTCAAGACAGTTACCAGAAGCTACTTTTATAGCTTCCTACATCATCCTACACAGAGGATGTTTATGTCTATTTATTTATTTATTTATTTATTTATGTCTATTTATTTATTTATTTATTTATGTCTGTTTATGTCTACACAGAGACATAAACATGGTGTACAGCACTGTACATTTGGAAAGTGGTAGGGTTTTTGTCTATAAAATCTTTAATAATCGACACATAAAATACACCTAAATAGTAGCATGGATGAGCTAGCTATGTTGGGGTGCCTGCTCTGCCCATGTGGCAGCCATATTGTAGGGGATACTCAGGTAGCCACTCCCTGTGATACAGACTCCCTATTCCCACACTGGTCAAGACCCAACTAGGTAAGGCATAGGAGCAAAAGGCAGTTCAGTCTGCCTAATAACCTATTCCTCTCTACACTGATTTTATCAAGGAGAGCAAAGACCAAGGATTTAGACACTGAGGCAGCTATAGGGTCCATGAAAGAAGCAAGACTTAGAGCAAAAGAAGGGGTAGCCAGTTCGAGAAAGGGAATGGAGAAGGGAACTGATGAGCACGGCCATCAGAAGCACCATCAGTGCTCATGAACTTCCTTTCTTGAGTAAACTTGTATTGTTTAGCTCCCTTTTCAAAATGAGCCTGACATGGACAAAGGTCTGTGGATTAAAAATTACCAATATTAACCAAGTATCTCACTAGCTACCAGAGTGCCAGTCCTCCAAGAACTGTGGAGATAAGGCATACAAAGCCTTAACCAGGTGCAAAGGCCTATTCTGTTTCCATGTCCCAAAGCATCTTCTGCTTGTTACCAATGAACCCCTTCCACTCCCGCTGTGTCCCCCTAAGTGCAGTTCCCTAATCTCTGCCCACCCTACCATGTTTAGCATGTAGTCATGCCTCCACTGCTGGTTTACTGCCTTTCAGGACTAACTTTCAGGACAACATTCTCTACTCTCTCCCAATATAGGCTAAATCAAACTCCCCAGTTTTGCTCTTAATACAAACAAATGTATTTGTCTTAGCTGTACTGTCAAGACCAATCAAGAACTCTTCTGAGGGCACACCCTAGAGATACATGCACTTTTGTTTTCTTTTCTGCTGCTAATCTCTACTATAGCCTGAGGCTCCTTCATTACGTTTTTGGTTCAAGAAAGACAGTCACCTAGGATCTCCCATTTTTGCCAGCTCCAAGAAAAATGTTATGTTCTTTTCCTTTTTAGTGGTTTTCCTTCAGTCACTACTAGGAAACAGAAAACAAAAACAAGTCAGAGAAAAAAAAAACAATGCTATTATCATTCTGATACCATCTTAGACTCCTTTCTAAGCCAGCAAATAGGAACCTTAATGGACTGACTTCATTTTGCGTCCTCATGCTCTGGCCTTTGTTTTAGTTTTGGTGAGGCTGATAGTAGACCCCAGCACCTCCTTCATGGGAGGCAAGGGTTTCATTTCACCAATGAACGACAGAAACAGTCCCAGTACTTTTCTTTTTCGGTTTTATGAGATAGGATCTCTGTGTAGTCATGGCTGTCCTAGAGCTCACTATGTATACCAGGCTAGGAAGAGCTCACAGATATACATCTGCCTCTGCCCCCGAGTGCTGGGATCAAGGGTGTGGTGCTACACCACACCTGGCCTGCTTCTATTTCTTGAAGAAGTTGTTAACTAAATAACCCACTCTCTGTGCCTACACCTAAGGCAAAAGTTTTACAACCAACTTTTCAGAAGCTGCTATTCCAGGCTTGAAGCTGGATTTGAGCCAAGGAACAGTCACACTGAAACAGCAGCACTCCACAGACTGCCCAATTTATGTCCAGACTAAGTGTCAAGCTTCTGTTTAGGTATTTCCCAACACCTTCTGAACTAGGCTTAATTCTGTGCAGGTAAGAACTTGATCTAATTCTCCACTATACCTCTAGCATCAGACACAAAACAAATATGTTGAATTAACAGATCTCCAAAATCAAAATGATATCAAATTGGGTGGTTTAGAAACACTTAATAGGCCAAAAGCTAATAATAGAAAGGGTCTGTTAAAAAATGGACCAAATCAAGCCTGGCATCTAAAAATGCAGGATCTGAAAACCAAGTTTATCATAGTTGGTACTATAATTCTTGAGAGAGCATCTTAGGGTTTTACACATTAATAACAAGAAAGGCTACTAGCCTGGTGGTGGTTGCACACGCCTTTAATCCCAGCACTCGGGAAGCAGAGGCAGGCGGATCTCTGTTGAGCTTGAGGCCAGCCTGGGAAATTTCAGAAAATGTAATAAAGCATGCAGACTCCAGATATGGAACAATAGACTACAACCTGCAGGGTTTCATGTGAGAACCCGAAATGACAAAACCAAAACTAGGGGCTAATTGCTAATTGCAAATTTCAAATGAAACCAAGCTTTTATTTATTTATTTTTCTGCAAGTTAGAAGGCAGGTGTTAAAAAGACCCACTCCTTAAAATAGCTAATAGTTACAAGTATTTAAAGCCACCCAGCAGAGTGTTGATCAAGGCACCATGAACAAAGCTGAGCTGGGCCTTTAGGCTATCTTGTACTAGTTACTTAGCCTTGGGGAGCTTAAGATCTCTTCTGCAGAGTTATCATAAAGGCAGTGGGAAACAGAGGACAACATGATACATATAATAGGAAAGCAGAAGGGGGAAACCAACTAGATGGGGATCAGTTAGAGGAGAGAGACCATGGGGAGTACAGTAGGGGGATAGGAAAGAATGAGAACAAAGTACTAATACATAAGTATGAAGGAGTCATAACAGAACCTGTTACTTTATGCTAACCTAAAAAAGCTTAAAAAAAAAAAAGGTTAGAATGAGAATCGCCCCATTGGCTCACACATTTGAATGCTTTGTCACCAGGGAGGGGAACTGTCTGAAAGGATTACAAGGATTAGGAGGCATGGCCTTGTTGAAGGAGTCCTAAGGTGTCTTAAGACAGTGGCCATTGTAACCACCCTTATCTGAGACAAATGGCCCAAAAACTATTTTCTTGGGATGCAATTTGATTTGCTCAATTAAGAAAAGGAAGGATGGAAAGGCTGCAGATCGGAAACTAGGAGCTGCAGGACTTAGGACGGGAGGCCAAGAGGGTTGCTCTCCTGCTGGGCTTAGCAAAGCAGCAGGCTGGAGAAAGCGAGAGTTCCCTCAGCCACCGTGAAGAGCTGTGAGGAGCTGCCTTGCCGGCTGGCATCCCAGTACTGCCTGCACACCAGAAACACTGCAGCTTCTCCACCTAAGGTGGTTCCACTTGACCCTCACACCTCGCTATCAGCATTTTGCACAAGGACCTCTAAGCATAGTAGAGTGTGCTCTGCTCTTTTCAGGTGGGTTCTAACCACTAGGGAACTTAGAGCAAGAGTTCAGAGTGGGGAACTTTTGTACTGGCAAAAACATTTGGTGGGCGCAGAGCTGAAAAATGTAGGCCTCTGAAAACATTAAACAAGGAGGGAGCGTTACAAAAAGGAGCACTACGGAAAGGTACAATTCTTGTGAAATACTAATTTAAGTGCTGTTAAATGAAAGGAAAATTATTTTTAAATGCAAAAAGACATCATCATTAAGAGGGGAATGCTCCTCCCCAAACAGTTTTATATTTCTTCTCTGTACTTCCCAACTGTTCGGAGCTGGAATTAGGGATGAGAGTGGGGACTTGGAAAGAATGCAGCAGTGGGCAGCCCCCTAAGAGTTGGAAGATAGGAACTAGGGAGGGGGTGGGGCTGGGGAGGAAGCAGAAAGGATCTCAGATGAAAAGCATTCCGTACTCGAGAGGCCACAGTACTCAGTGCGGCTGCCCCATTACCTCATCGCAGCTGCCCAACGCTACGACACGGGCTCTGTTACAGTCCCCGCTTGCAGAAGACAAAACCGAGGTTCAGAAGGGAGAGGTGACCTTCCCAGGACGCGGAGCAAGTGCGGGTGGGAAGCCGCGTTCAGACAGAAGGCAGCAAGGCTGCGGAAACAACCGAAGCGCCGAGGTCCCGCCCCTCCACGCCGCCGGCAGCCCGCACCCACCAGGGCGGGGCGTCCGAAAAAAAATCTCCTTCCGGGCGGTGCGGCCTCCCCTCCCCCGGCCCGCGCCGCGCCGGGGTCCGGCGGCTCAGGGGTCCCGGCGACCTCGGCCGCGCTCTCCCGGCCCCGTCGGGCCCGCGGGCGCAGGGAGGCTCGGGCCCCGGCGGCCCGGGAGCAAGCGGCTCGGCTGAGTGCGCGCCCGGCCCCGGCGGGAGCGGTCCCGGGGGACGGTTGGGGGAAGGGGCCCCGGGGGCGGCCACGCGTCACTCACGCGTCGAACTTGTTGTTCATCCTCTCGCCGCCGCTGTCGCCACTGCCTCACGGAGTGACTTCCGCTCTGCCTGGTCCCTTCGTCAAGGGCCCGGCTACTTCCGGTTGACGAGCCGCTTAGCGGAACGTTGGCGCGCAGGCCGGGTGCGGGGCCTCTTTCCCTGACGGGTGGCCTAGTCCCGGCGCAAGTCACTGTCCGGGTTGTCTCGGCGGACTCTCTCGCGGTCGCCTTCAAGTGGCGTTGAGTGCTGTCTATGCGGCCGGCCATCTGCTTTAACCTCCCGGTGGGTTCCAGGGGAAATGTCAGCACAGTAACCCTTAGTAAATGGTGCCTAAATGTTCGTCTCAGAGCTGATCCTTTGCCGTTGGTGTTTGTAGAAGACGAGAAAGTACCCCCAAACAAATCCGTTATTCTGGCTCTTGGGAAGTGGAGGTAGGAAGATCCAGACCAATCTGGACAGCATAGCGAGTTCGAGGCCAGCCTGGGATACATGTGATCCACCCTGCCTTGGGTTAAGTGAGGAAAAAGTCGCACCAGGGTGACAAAAGACATCTACCAAGAACCGAGATGGTCTCACTTATCAAATTGCTTCCTCAATTGCAGTCTTTGCCCCCACACTCCTAACAAGTGAATAAATTAAATTCCCCAGTTGGTGATGGATCTCTAAAGCCACCAACTGTGCATCTTTCCTGATCCATTGGCTGAACATATTCCATTGTTAGACGTGAGGAAAGGCAGAAATTGAAGTTGCTGTCTGTGTTTGCAGGTGAGAAAAAGTCTTCCTGGACTGTTGTCCCCTGGTCACTCAGCAAGGTCATATTCTTCTCCGCATTTGAACCTCAAGGGATCATCCTGTTTCCTGACATGTACAAGGGAAACTGAGGAAGCTCTCCTGTGAGGCCCAGCTCAGGGGCTTTGGTCCTAGCCCTGCAAGTGCCCTGGATTTTGACAAGAGGGGGAAAGAAAAGTGCATTTGCAGCGCTAGGAATTTTCCTTAGAGTCTGCGATTGGGTCAGAGATGTGAATTTGGACCCTAAAGGAGTGTTCTAGGGAGTTCCTCTTATTCTGGACCCCAACTAGCTCATGAGAACTGTGGGTCAGGTGAGTCTCTTGCTTGTCCATAATGTGAAGAATTTCTAACAATGGGAAAAGATGATAAAACGTAAGAACTCTTGTGATCAGTGGCAGGGGGTATTACATCAAATGAATAGGAAGGTGCTGCTGAAGCTGTCTGTGTATTTGAGGCTGTGGTACCCAGAAGACAGACAGGGAGCTGAAATCGGCCTCACTTTTGTGTTCTGAACCTCCAAAGAGTCAAGAGTCCACACTTATCTACACCCCTATCTCCTAGCACTTTTTGTAAAAAAAAAATTAATTTTCATTTTATGTATATGGGTGTTTTGCCTGCACTTGTGTACATCTGTGTACCATGTATGTGTGTTTTGCAAAAACCAGAAGAGGGTGTTGGATCTCCTGGAACTGGAGTTACAGGTGGTTGTGACCCACCATGTAACTGGAAATTGAACCCAGATCCTCTGGAAAAATACCCAATGTTCTTAACCACTGAGGTATCTCCACCCCTACCCTCCATCTCCTCCTCTTCCTTCTTTTTTTGAGACAGAGTCTCACTCTGTAGCCCTGGCTGATCTCAAACTCATAGAGATTGGCTTTCTCTGCCTCCCTAGTGCTTAGGATCAGAGGAGTACCCCACCACAGCCAGTGCTGCTGGTTCCCTCTTCCTCCTCCTCCTCCTCCTCCTCCTCCTCCTCCTCCTCCTCCTCCTCCTCCTCTTCTTCTTGTGTGTGTTGAGACAGGGTCTCTCTGTGTGACAGCCCTGGCTGTCCTGGAACTCACTTTGTAGACTAGGCTGGCCTCAAACTCACTGAGATCCACTGGTCCCTGCCTTCCTAGTGCTGGGATTAAAGGCGTGCACCACCACCCAGTACTGGTTCTCTTCTTTTAAGAGAGTTCCCACATCGTCTATCTCCTTCTTCCACAGAAGATTCACAAAAGGGGAGATATTGGAGCTGGAGAGATGGCTTAGTGGTTAAGAACATCTGCTTTTGTAGGGGACATGAGTTCAGTTCCCAGCACCCATTGTCTGGTTGTTCACTACCACCTACGACTCCAGCTCCAGGGTTCTGACACCCTTTGTTGGCCTCCAAAGGATATCTTCACTTGTGCACATATAACCCACTCCCCACACACACAGACATCTAGTTAAAAATAATACATCTTACAAAGAGGCAGGAGGAAATGTTCTCAGGCCTCAAAGGGTAAGACCTTACCCAGGGAAAGCAGAGTCCTTAGGGTTACGAAGTGACTTGGAGTCAGTAACGCTCTGCCCAAGTGAGAGGGATGTAGGAAGTGGAGGACTGGTGACTGTAGGGGCCAGCCATTGCCACGTGGATGCCGGGCCCAAAGTCACAAATGGCCACACCCATCGCCAACCACTTCAGAACTCCCCCTCTCTCTTTATTTCTGTCTCTCCTCCCAGGGATGTTTGGGTACGTCCCAAGGAGCACACTCAAGATCCCAACCCAGAATACAGCTTCATAGACAGCATGGCCCATATATAACTGATTCCAGGGCCCAGGAGTGATTGGTTGACTCAGTCTGGCAAAGGCAAGTAGGGGCGAGGGTCTCCAGGGAATGGCAGGTCAGGCACCCGATTATAGTGGGCCATCAGGAAGATGCCGGCCGTGCCACAGATGAAGAGAGAGAGCATGGCCAGGAAACAGACACGGTCCAGCACACGGCCCACCAGGAACCACTCCTCATTCCCCTGAGGGCAACAACACACTGTGGGGTAGAGGTGTGACCAGGGGCAGCATCTAGCCTGGGTTCCGTCTTTCACTGTTAGGTCCACAGCTGGCCTCCATTCCCTGCTCTTCAGCCTTCTTACCTCTGTCTATACCAACCTGTCCCCTTTCGTGGTATCCGTCCCATTGCTCACTCCCCCTCCCACTTCCAAGGTCTGCTTTATTTGTCCCCAGAGCTAAGACACCCCATTCGTCCTGTCCCCATGCTGCGCTAGAGTACTCGCCCACCCTGCTCCAAGCTTACACTGTCAAAGTGACTCTGCTGGCGCCGGGCACGGGCCATGAGGTTACAGGCCTCCACACAGGCCTGGATGGCTGGGGAGGCTTGCTTCAGGCTTCCACAGAACTCCTGGCTCTGTCTCATTTCTGGCCCATTTTCTGCTGGGAAAATAGTCAGTGGGAGAGAGCTAGCAGGGCTGTGGGTTCTCCCCAGAGACCTGGCCCCCCTCTCTCCCACTTGAGCACTTGCTCAGCATTTATCTGCTGTGCCCAGCTCTGTCTTCATTAACTGGACAGGATAGTCCTCAGTGGCACCCCTTGGGCCTCACCTAACTTTTCTAGTGCAGCTTGCACCAATCCATTGCGCTGCCTCTGTCTGAAGAGGAGTTCACTGCGTGGGAGATAGAGACCCCCTTCCTCCCGAGTTGTGATGGGCCATCCCGAGGAGGAGCCATTCTGGAGCCGCAACCGGGCATCCTGGACAGGAGTGGGGCCCCGTGGGCGCACATGCATCCTTAACAGCTGGGGCAGGAGCCTCAGGAACACCTGTAGAGGGTTTGTTCTGGTAGGCGCCCCCTTGGGCAGCCAGGGCAAGCTTGGGAATACAAGCAGGAGATGGGCATGAGGGTTGTACCTTAGGGGCAGCAACTGGGTCCTGCTCCAGTTTGACTACTTTCTCCTGGACACAGAACCAGTACCCTGAGCTTTTGTGACTTTCAGAATCATCAGAGCACTTTTCTCAGACTCTAACCCTCTGCTCCCTGCTAGAATAGCCTAGGCTACTGGAACGTACCTAGGGATTCTACATTTGCAACACGATTCTCAGCTTTCTGCTACAGGTGGGCTGCAGGGCACACAGACAGGACAGAACCCTCTTTCCTCTGCTTTCTGGGAATGGGTAATATTGGGTAAGCTGCCTAACCTCTCTGTGTCTCCGTTTTCCTATCTGTTTAATGGAGACGATACACCAATGCCCTCTTAAGGGATTTTTATGAATGTTAAGGAAGTTAGTACCCGTAATATATCCCTGGGCACTGATATCATTTGCTTACTTTAGATGTGAAGATATGTATGGCATAGATTTGCTGCTGAATTAGAGAGTAGGGACACGGGTGTGGAGCGAGTCATCTGTGATTGGGAAGGACAGATGGATGCCCAAGGGGACAGGGAAGTGCCTTGCCTTGCGGACCCCCCGGGCCATGGAGTGTGTGTGGGGGGACCTCAAGGACACGTTGAGCACCACCACTGAGTTCACGACGATGAGGATGGTCACCACCATGAGGAAGGTCAGGTACCTGTCCAGGATCAGGCAAGCAGGAGGCTGGGTATCCGTTAGGCACCTCATACCCAGGTGCCACCCACCCTGCTTCCCTCGGGTCCCCTGGTAGAAGGTCATGACAAATGCCACAGGAAGGGAAGGGGGTACTGGGGATGTAGCCCACTGCCAGAACACGTGCTTAGCAAGGCTCCACCCCCTGCACAGGTGGTGAGGAGTGGGAAACAGGTGTGAGGACTAGCCTTACTTGCTGATGAGCGGCACTGCCTGGGAGGTCTCAGGCACCTTCTTGGCCACGAGGAAAAGGAAGACGGTCTGGGCCAGGAGCACGTTGATGGCCACTGTACATTTCTGGCCGCCCGCTGCCCATGACCAAGATGACCTCAGAGCAGGTCCCCCCACACCCCCTTACCCTACAGGGAGCCCACTACCCTTGTCCTAGGATTATGGTGCCACCCTATGCCATGACTAGTCAGGCCTGGGCTTCCCCCTCCCACAGGCCCAGGTACCCTTGGCAGGAAGGAAGTAGATGAGGATAGCAACGGAGGAAATGAGCACGCAGGGGGCGATGATGTTGATGACGTAGAAGAGGGGCTTGCGCTGGATGAGCAGGTAGAAAACCACTTTTTGGTGGCCTGCCTCCTCTGCTGGTGCCACAGGGTCCAGTAGCATCTTGGCTGGTCGATGCCGGATGGCCCATTCTCCATTCTCTGTGGTGAGCACAGGGAATGTGACCTGGGTAAATGTGTGGCCTGAACAGCCAAGTCGCAGGGGCACAGTGGGATAGAGATTTAATATTGATCAATTATTGTAGGAAAGGTGAGAACTTCCCTGGATCCTTTCTTGCATGTACACGTGGCATATGTATACACACATATACACATACATGCATACACTCACATATGTGTAGGTGCATGTGTATGTGTTGATGCATGTGTGTGTTTATAGTGTATATACATAGAAGCCAGAGACTGACATCAAGTATCTTCCTCAATCACTCTTTACCTTTTATCTTGAGATACGGTCTGTCCCTTGAACCCAGAGCCTTACTCTGGGAATCCCTTGTTTCCATTCGCCTTGTGCAGGGTAGGCTGCCACTTCTAATCAGGGTTTATGTGGGTTCTGGAGACCTGAATTCTGGTACGTACAGTAAGTGCTCTCTCTACCCGACAGAGCCATCTCCCCAGCTCGCCTGCCTTTCTCTTTAAAGGTAGTCTCCCTGTGTAGCCTAGGCTAGCCTCAAACTTTCGGTCCTCTGGAGGGTTGGGGTCACATACACGTGCCACCATACCTGACTTTCTGTTGGGATCTTTTGAAAACCATATTCTATGATACACCGCAGTTTTCATATTGAGGTGTGTGGGAGGGCATGGCCTTGGTCTAGCAGGGGTCCCCACATGGGGTTACCTGTGAAAGCCTCGGGGTCGATGAAGATCCACTCAATGGCTTGTCCATCTTCCTGGCTCAGCTGCAGGTTAATCTCACTGGTGCTGTAAGTCTGAGACCTGGGGTCAGGAGTGAGGGTAAGGGGAAGCCAGGCAGACCTGCTCATGAGGTCACAGACACAGTGATCTAAGGGCAGCTGTGGGCATTGGGCCTTGACGTATACAGTGCCACATCCTTGAGTTCCCCATCAAGTCCCAGGGTAGCATGCAGGGGAACATGCCCGGCCAAAGGATTCAGGGCTACTCTGTCCCTTCTACTGCCGCCAAAGACCGTTGGGTAGAAATACAGGCTTATCATAAGACTACCCTTGGGGTCCTACCAACTTCCCAAGTCCTCTTGGAATCCTTACAATTCCTCCCAAGATCGCTATTCACAGCTTATGGATGAGGGAACTGAGACCCAAAGGTCCCAGGTGTGGCTCAGGTCACATGCTGGCTTTGGCCAGTCTTCTCTTTTCCAGGGAAGCCTGCCTGTCTATGGTCCCATGTGTATGCCGGCATGCCTGTGTGTTCTTACCCACACACTCCAGACATTAATATCTCCCCTGGGGACAGAGGCAGGAAGCTGGAGCAATGGAGGATGGGTGAGAGGACTTAGTAGGAGGACACATTCAGGTGTTACCACCTGAATAGGTACAGGTGATGGGTCCAGGCCACCCGGCCTTGAGATGCCTCCGATGCTGGTCCCCCGCACCCAGTCCCCTCCTAGCTCCCTGAGGCTCCCCCACTCCATCAATCGTCTCACTGGAAGATGAGAGAGCAGTTCTGCCAATCGAAGGGGAAGTAGGTGACAGAGATGGAGCAGGAGGAGCGGAAGATGGCAGGTGGCAGCCAGTAGATACAACCGTCAGGGGACACGAGCACGTTGCAGTAGAGGGCCACCTCGAACACACCATCCACACTGTTGGCATAAGGCAGGATAAAGAACTGTGGGCAGAGATCCCACATCCCCAGACCAGCCCTCTGCCTTGCATGGATGAGATCTGAGAGCCCCAGTCCCCCAGATTGCCACATTCCCGATGGACGTTCATCTAGTAACTCATGCATCACCCCATCACCTCCCGACCACCTCTGCTCTGGACTGGAGATGAGTACCGAGAGCTGGGAGAGACAGCACCCCCACAACCACCCTGTAACCCTGGCTTCTCTTTCTCCATATTAATAACTACAGTAATGGCAGAATAGGTAATATTATCAAGCTCTTGCAGAGTACCTCGCTCTGAATGAACTATTTTTGTGTGTCGTAATGACCTCTCACAATTTCTCTGGTTGTTAAAATTGGTTCCTGATTTCAGGGATGGGAAAAGCCCATCCAGGTGGCTAATACACTACAGGAAGCCAGGTCTGGCGCCCTGGACTAATATCTGTGTCTGGGGTCCCGCCCTTAGCCTGGCACCTTGCAGCACTCCGCTTTCCTCTTTTTTCCCTTTCTCCAACTTTCCTCATCCTGCTGGACCTTGGTACCCTTCGTTTCCTGCCCAAGCCCCCTCCTCACTTGTTCTCCAACACGATATCTGGCCTCCAGACCATGGTGGATGGCACCCTCAGTATCCACAGGCCTTCATAGTCTTGTGGGTCCCAGCGCAGGCGATAATCACACCACTGCTATGGATGAAGAGGCAGTTGCCGAGCCTGTGCCCTAGGCTACACAGGGCTGGTGAATGGCAGGCCAGCCTAGAGGGCCCAAGAGGTTGGGTGGAGGGCGGGGGACGGGGCAGGAATGATGACAACCGGAATAAGCAGAAAGGTACAGCAGGCGACTTCTTACCATTTCTATCCAGACGTTGGTTGTGAGGGCCTCTTCTCGCTCATTCTGGGGCACAGAGAGAGGGCTAAATCTCCTATACCTCCCCTCTCCATAGAGCCTGGTGCCTATCATTTTCCCCTCCTGCAGCTTACCAGGGAGATGAGGTTGGTCAGGGTAAGCTTCAGGCTGACGTTGACCACATCTGAGTCGTGCTCAGCGGGCCGCAGATGGGGGTCATAGTTTCTCATCAGGTCAGCAAACAGGCGCTCCTCTTGGTTGAGGCTCTGGATCCCTGCAACTGACAGGGAGACTCATTCCAGCGGAGTGGGAGACACAGAAGAACAAGGTGGAGACTCAGGGTGCTGGGGCTATGGAGAGCACAGATGACTTCCAGACCCTCCATCCACCGTAGCCTTGCGGTCCTCATCTGTTCCTTCCACCCCCACCTCCCAATGAAGTCTCAGGTCCCCTTGTGTCACACCCAGGCAGATAGCCAGGAACGGCAGGAGGAGCGGAGGTCCCCGGCCTCCATGCATGGTGCCTCAGCTCTGTTCAGCGGCTGGTGGGACAGTACCTCTCTAGGTCTGGGGGTGGGGGTGGGGTAGGGTGGGCTGGCGTGTCATGTGTCAGCCGGCATGCACATCCTAGCCATCCCTGCCAGCTCGAACTGGCCCCACCAGCTGTCTGACCACAGCATTGTCAGCTGTTCCAGGATATGTCCAGTCTGGGCTCAGATTACCTGGACCAGTCAGGGGGATGAGGGATGGACTCATCCCTAACAGAGACAGGACACCCTCAAAACTGTCTCAGCAGAGACGTCCCACCCTCACACATAGTCACTTCAGTTGTGTAACTATTTTTTCTCCAGCTCGGAGACTCCGCAAATGGCCAAGGACAGATGGATGTGGGAGGGGAGGTGGTGCTGAGGAGGCTGGTGGTGGCTGATCAGGGACCGTCATTCTGTCTCAGGGAGCTGTGAGGGTGTTGGGTAGGTGTAATTTCTACGTGGGGTGCCCATGATTTTAACTTAGTATCTCAACCCTTTCCCAGTAGCCCAGTGCCTCTTGTGGGTCACTTGGTCCACTAGACCAAGACACAGGAACGAAGCACCCAGAGAGTGTCTAGTTTTTGATGGGGTCATATCCTGTTTTCATTTACAAGAATGTGGGGCTCCATCTTGGGAGGCACGTGACCCATAGGCCACAGACTGGAGAAGGCTGCATGGATAAAGCAAGACCATGGCATTGACAATTAGGGGACCATGGCATCTTCTCCCATGTCCTGAGACAGCGGACACAGAGCCAGCAGGCTTTGTCATTAGGAGGGCTGGGAAGGGTCTCGAATGTGAGGGGTCCTTGTGACTAGGCTACCTGTGAGCAGTGGCTTGTCAGTGGGGCTGAAGTTCATAAAATCATCCAACAGATAATGGCGGGTCCTGTGAGAGGCTGGGGAGACCCAGGGATGTGTCAAGCCGCTTGGGAGACTCATGGGCCACTGGGGCAGGCAGGCCAGACTTTAGGATGTGTGCCCCAGACTCAGAGGAGGGGGACTAAAGGGGAAAGGACTGGGGAATGAGCCTCAGCTACTTTCAGCTACTTTTAGGCTTGTCACCACTAAAGGGTGGGATTGGAGCTGATCTAGGAGCAGGGACTTGCTGCTAACTGTGTCAGTACTTGGGCCACCTGTCATGTGGCCAGCTATTCCCAGCAGTCTGGTCAGTGTGTGTTAATATTTGGCCCCTAAGTGCTACCACTTGGGAGCTGCCCCAGGCAGAGGAGGACACTAGGAGACTATATCCTCCACCCCACCAGATGTTGGTGACATTGCAGCGTGTTTTATTTTCTATTTTATTATCTTTTAAATATTTATTTATTTATTTATTTATTATGTATACAGTGTTGTGCCAGAAGAGGGCACCAGATCTCATTATAGATGGTTTGTGAGTCACCATGTACTTGCTGGGAATTGAACTCAGGACCTTTGGAAGAGCAGCCAGTGCTCTTAACCTCTGAGTCATCTCTCCAGCTCCGACTCAGAACCCGGCCCCCTTGAAGGGCCCCAAGTCCTTCATGTGCCACCAGGACTCTATGGATGGAGGCAGGGAGCGGTGGTGACATTTGTCTTCTTCTTTCATCCCTCATATTAACCCCGCTTCCACTGGGTTACCCTGTGGGTGGCTTGTCCTTGGTGCCAGATCTGCTCTGGGTCCCTGTTCCCTCTGAAAGCTCCTGCTTTCCTGCAAACACCCGGGAGACGTTCTTTTACTGAAGGGTCCAAAGTCAGAGATTCCTTCCTACTTCGAAGCCTCTGGCCCTCTCATTGCCCTCTGGTGTCCCTCAAATATACTTCCTTCATTCTCTTCTTGGACATCAGTGTGTCTGACTCAACTCCCGTCTGGTGCGCCTTTGCCAAAGATGAGCAGTGGTCTCTGTAAGTCAGGAAGTGGTGTGAGCAGTGGCCATCTGCCGTTCCTCTACCCCATCCACCCTTCCTTGCCATGAGTGTCTGGAAGAGAAAAAGGAGTGTAAAACTGCTCCCCCCACCTACACCCCCCCTTGCGCATGTACTATGATGCCACCCTACCTGAGAAGACTCACTTCTGCTTGTTCCCCCAGTGCTCTGGGAGAGAGGTCTGGGAGCTGGCTTGTCATTCTCTGCAGGGCAAGTCACTTAGGAGGGGTGGAGTCTCCTGGGAGAGTCCAGTGTGGAGAGGGAAAGCCAACAAAGAAAAAAAAAGTATTATATAGGTCTCTCTCTATTCCAGCTGCGACTTCTCGCCACCACCTATTACAGAGGCTGGAATGGGTGACTAGTGACACCTCCTCCTCAGTACCCACGGGCTGAACGGAGTTCTTAAAGGAGTGTCAGTGCTGTACAAATAGTTGCCATGCTTATAGATCAACAAGAAAAAGGCCAGGTGCTGGTGGCACACGCCTTTAATCCCAGCACTGGGAGGCAGAGGCAGAGGCCAGCCTGGTCTTCTGTGTACAATCCAGGCACACATTTTTCATCTACACATTTTCAGTCTGTGACTGGCTCAGTCCGCAGGTTCTGAATTTACAGATACGGGTCACACCCCATGGATCAAATCATTACACGTTTACATTGGTTCACCAAGGAGCCTGGCTTGTTGCTGTCTGCATGTTTGTTGTTGACTTGACACATGCTAACAGTATCCGGCAAGGGGCTGGAGAGATGGCTCAGTGGTTAAGAGCATTGCCTGCTCTTCCAAAGGTCCTGAGTTCAATTCCCAGCAACCACATGGTGGCTCACAGCCATCTTTAGGGAGGTCTGGCGCCCTCTTCTGGCCTTCAAGCATACAGACAAAATAATGTATACATAATAAATAAATAAATATTTAAAAAAAACAGTATCCGGCAAGAGGAATCTCAGTTGAGAAAATGCCTCCATCCAGATTGCCTGTAGGCTAGTCTGTAGCGCATTTTCTTGATTAATGCTAGATATGAGTGAGCCCAGCTCAGGAAAGGCAATGCCTCCCGAGGGTTCTGAATTGCATAAGAGAGCAAGCGGAGGAAGCCATGAACAAACAATCCAGTAAAGTAGTGCTCCTCCGTGGCCTCTGCTTCAGTTCCTAACTCCAGGTTCCTGCCTTGAGTTCCTGCCCTGACGTCCCTCTATGCTGGACTACAACTGTAAGGTGAAATAAACCCTTTCCTCTCCAACCTGCTCTGGGTCACAGCAACAGAAACCCCAACTAAGACCAGGTGCTCCGGGGTTCACAGGAAGGTTTTTAAGAAGTTTATATTATTGTATAATGATGTGTTTGAGGGACCTGCACATGCCATGGCCATGGTGTGTGTGTGTGTGTGTGTGTGTGTGTGTGTGTGTAGGTCAGAAAGCAACATTTTTTTTCCAAGACAGGGTTTCTCAGCTAGCCCTGGGTGTCCTGGAACTTACTCTGCAGATAAGATTCGCTTTGAACTCACAGATCTACCTGCTTCTGTCTCTCAAGGGCTGACTTTAAAGGGTGCGCTACTACACCTGACCCAGAGAGCAACATTTGAGAACGTGTTCTCCCTTCTACTTTTATGCGGGTTTGGGGGGAATAAAACCTGGGTCGTCAGGCTTCTATGGCAAAAGCTCTTGCTCACTGAGCTGTCTTACTTGCCTCCCACCTGGTTTTCAAAGCTTACCGTTTTCTTGGTAATTAATTAATTAACTTTTGGAGACCGTCTTGTGTAGCCCAGGCTGGCCTCAGGCCAGCTATGCAGCTAAGGAAAAGCTGAGCTCCTAAGCATCATGCCTCTGCCTTCCCAGCTACCAGGACTACCAGGCTGGGTTTGACGGGGATGCTGGAGATCAAACCCAGGGCCCTGTGCATACTGGATGATTGCTTCCTCCCCTGAGCTGGTGGGAAAGGAGCAATAAATGGAGGTTCCTTTTCTGCCAGAATGTAGGTGTAAGATATGGAACTGTGTCGGTCAGCTCCCAACCTGAGGCAGCAAGCATGAGGAGCAAGGCCAGGGAGATGTGGAAGTCAGTCTAGGTGGGCAAGAATTTGCGGTCTCCAGATGCTTTTTTATTTTTATTTATTTATTTTTGAGGAAAAAGACACCTGCTTGCTTAAGTCGTGTCTATGGCTCACTGCATTTTGCCCTTGAAGCCTAGTTCACTCATAATTGCTGTGCTATCCATTGAGAAGATTGGCAGTTCTACTGAACTGGGGAGTACAGGGCTACCCTACTGCCTCCTAGGAAGCTGGTTTTTGAATGTGACATCCTGGATCCTAAGGAGATGGTTCCAAGTCAATCATGGAGGACCGGCCCTGACAGCACCTCAGGGTGCTGATGAGATGCACAAAAGGCACCCTTGGTTGGGTGTGGCATTTGGGGCTGTCATCTCTGGAGAATCCTGTCTCAGCTGGGACGAGGAGGACCGTACTAGTCCTTGGACCTGCTGCCAGCAGCGCCACCTTGTGGCAGGATTCCAGCAGTGCCACTGAATGGCAGAGAGAAGCAGCCAGTAATGGCAGACGAGGACCTCTTCCAGTTCTTTGTGTAGAGGGATGGATGGGTAATTCTGGGGAGGCCTGGACTCCCTGCTTATCTGGTATGTGTTGGATCAAGCTGCTTTTCCTGAACTTCACCTTGAGTTTGTATGGATGTAATTAGGGTCTGTTTGGGTCTGAGGAAATATATTGAGCTGTGATGACCTTACCTCTGTACAACAAGGAGGTGACTAATTGGGCCATTGTCACCTGTCTGCCACAACAGGATGCAGGAATCCTGGGCACAAAACCCCTCTGACCTGTGTCCTGCAACTCAAGTCCACAAATGAGGACCAGGACAAGAAATGATCCTTGGAGTTCCCTAAGTTCCAAGAACAAGCAGATTCGGTGTTAACAACTTGCGAATGGGGCTTAGTGAATGCATGCATAGTGCAGATGAAGATCCTGAAGCTGAGGGTTGGGGTGCAGCTAACTGATGGGGATGCTTGTGCAGGCCTGTG